AAAAAAAAAAACACTCTAAATCAAAGAAATTTCATTATAAAAATGCTTAGATATAGTTAAAAATTATGCTTAGAATAAAAAACAATAGATAATAGTAGTCAATATTTGACACGACACGAAAACCCGACTCGGACCCGACCCAGAAAATCCGGCCGACCCGATTTCAAAATAGGTCGGGTTCAGGTTGACCTAGCGGGTTGCCGGATCAACCCGCGAACCCGTTTTAACTTGAACTGCCCGCGCTACCCCGCCTGCCAGCGCCAACGCCCGCGCCCGAGGCTGCCCGCGCGTGCTCGCCCGCTCACGCCCGCACACCCGCGCATCCGCGTTCGCTCGCAGCGCTGGCCCGCGCGCTCCCCCGCATTTCGGGTGCCGTGTGGGGTCGGGTCAACCTGTCAACCCACCGGATCGGGTCCGGGTTCGAATTTCCGACCCTTTTATCTACCCGGGTCAGGTTAGGGTCGACCCGTTTGAACCCGAGTCAGTTCGAATTCAACCCGAACCCGACCCGTGACCCGAAATTGACACCCCTAGTTAGCACCAACCAAAGCCAAATAACCAGTTGTACCTTTTTTTCTCTTTTCATATATAAAACTCTTTTAATTTTATAAACTCCAATTAGTTAGTCATAATTAATTTCATATGTTTACTTAATTTAATTTTAAGTCTCAAAACTGATTAAAAAAATAGTTCAAGGAGTTATCACGTAAACTGAAGCAGAGAATTAAGATTTAGGAATAGTTTTATTTCCGTTGGTATTTATATTGTTAAAAGAAAACAAATAGCTTTGATTTTATAAATTAAAAAACTCTTTTAATTTTATAAACTCCAATTAGTTAGTCATAATTAATTTCATATGTTTACTTAATTTAATTTTAAGTCTCAAAACTGATTAAAAAAATAGTTCAAGGAGTTATCACGTAAACTGAAGCAGAGAATTAAGATTTAGGAATAGTTTTATTTCCGTTGGTATTTATATTGTTAAAAGAAAACAAATAGCTTTGATTTTATAAATTAAAAAATAAGACATTTGAACTGGGCTCAAGAGCCATTTATAGAATATAGTTCTATTTAGCTCACGAGTCAGCTTTAAACAAAAAAATAAAAAACAAATCTAAAAGAAAACTAGTAACCAAGAGGCTATAACCATTTATTGGGCTTATGAATAAAACATTTTGTTAGAATCCAGACGGATCAGAATTAACCAGATTCGCTGGTTCAGCCGACCTTAAGCTGCTACATTACTTGGGACTTACTTCTTTCATATAAAGCCCGGCCCAATTCATTCTTCCTAATGCAAAGAGAAGCAGATCCGCTCTTATCCGAATCCCCAAAATTTCTCAAAGGCCATCTAATTGACACCCAAAAGCTGACTGCACCAGATTTTGAGTTCAATATTTTTCCACATCAGCTTCCTTTCGTTGGGTGAGAATTATTCGGTGCAATTAAAATAAAATGAACGGACGATCACATCTACTTTAGACTTCCGGTTGCAGGTGAGAGTAGCCACCGAACGCGGAAATTCCACTGCGTATCCCCTCACCATCCGGTAACGTACCGCGATACACTGCTACATTTTGACCATCCTTCTCGACTTGATTTCTCATTCGACGGTGAAATCCAAGATGAGGAGAAAAATCCCGTTCTTCCTCCGCCTCATCTAAATCCTAACCCTAATCGATCCGATGGCTTCGCGCCGCCTTCACTTATTTGCAGATAGTAATAGTACATCTAATGGAAACTTCAGCTTCGACGGCAACATCACACTCGACTGCATCTTCAACTGCATCGGCTATTGCTTCTCCGGCATCTGCTTTCCGACCCCTCCTCTATCGCCGGTTGCTTTGCCACGGGACGACAACTCCAGCGACACCACAATTCCTATCAACCTTCACACTCGCGATCGACTCACGCCAAGTCTAATAATTGCTGTCGTATCCGCCGTCGCCGGCTCCTTTGCAGTCCTTCTCACCTTGTACGCCTACCTACGCTTCCGCCGCCGGGTTCGCCGAAACCATCGTCAACCGGGATCGGAAGGTACCGCCGATGTTGTCAACGACAACGACGACGAAACCGGCGGTGATCTCCCTCCCGGCGGCGAGATCGAGCACCACATATGGTATATCCGAACCCAGGGGCTTGACGATAGCACGATCGCGTCGATCACTTCCTGGATTTATAAATCTAGCGACGGCCTCATCGATAGTAAAGATTGTTCCGTTTGCCTAGGCGAGTTTTATGATGGGGAGCTGATCCGCCTGCTCCCCAAGTGTAGCCACGCGTTTCACCTACCCTGCATCGATAGGTGGCTCAGATCTCATGTTAACTGCCCTCTATGTCGAGCTCCGATAATTTCTCCGGCGGCTGCTACTGTTCTCGCACCTTCTCCTGCTTCTCCTGCAACTGCGATCACCTCAGATCCATCAGAGCCGGTAACTGGCTCCCCTTCTCCATTGGAAACAGCGCAAATCGAGGCGTTACCATGGGAGAGCGTTAACGAGGAGTTTGAGATCGGAATTATGAACCACCCAAGTGAAGGGTCGTCTTCTCGGCCTTCTACTTCAGAGCTGCCGCCTAATTCGTCGGAGGTAGAAGAGAATCTGCAGCCAATCAGGCGATCCGTTTCGATGGATGCCTTCTCTCTAGATGTGCTTATCAGGCATGGTAGGGCTGAGGAGGAAATGGCTTCTGCAAATAGAGAGAAACCTAGGGGCTTTCTGAAAGGGAACCTGAGCCGGAAACTACATTCAAAAATGGATGTATCTCTTTCCAGCCAAAGTTCGAGGTGGTTCTTTCCCAGGTACGGGCGTCCCCGAAACTCTGTTCTGCCATTGTAAACATCGACGAATCTTCCCTTCTATTTTTCCCCTGAAAAATTCTTCTTCTTTTCCCCTCTCTTTTGTTAACTTCGGCGGGCTAGTTCAATGTAAAATCTTTGATTAGGAGGATGATCTCGGCAAATCGAGTGATGTCCCTTTGCTGCTTCTAAACATCATAGCACCCAAAAAAAGCATAGAAGGATTAAAAAGGAATCCTATCTTGCTATGGAGTGATTAAGATATTACAAAAGACAAAAGTTTTGTTTGCGTATCAAATGAATTGCTTTTAATGCGTGGTTATAAAATCTAACCAATCCCTCATAGCTATTTGTCTTTCATAATCATTAGTCACTTCCTATATTTGGCTGATAAACTGTAATGTTCCCTATCTTTATGGCAAAAGAAGTTTTTTTATTGCAGCTTTGAGTTTGTAGGCTACTCACTCACTACTGTAGCAATGCAGTGTATTATACCTTGTAATTTTGCACACTCAATTGCACGATTTAAAGGATAAGGGTTGTCTGATCGCTGCAAAATATGACTAAAAGTAGATTTAGGCTGCTTGATTTGATTTACTGGCTGTTTTGTATCCTATTTTAGGCAAGAATTAGACGGAATTCTGATAAACGAGGATGTAATCGAGTTGAGCTTGAGCGATTTTAATTGGTATTTCTGTTTGCATTAGTATTTTTTCGAGTTTGTTCGATTTGGTTTGTGTTCAAATATGTTCAGGCGCACAGTGTTTGTGTTTGATTTCATATGCTCATCTTTGTTTGGTTCGGTAAGCTTTTGGCGTTGAATCAAATCTCATCCAATGGAGAAATTATTTCGTGAGGAGCATGGTCTCTAATGTGTACAAGCCACATAATTTATACATAGTGTGTATATCATGAACTTTTATTCTATCCAGTGAACGTACGTAGATGAAGGTTCGGTTTTAGACAAAAAAGCGTCTGTACCGAGTTTTTTGAAAAAACTGTAAAAAACTCGGTACAGCGCTTTTTTTTTCAAAAAACTCGGTTTAGCGCTTTTTTGCCTAAAACCAAAACTTCCTCTGCGTACGTTCACTGGATAGAATAAAAGTTCGTATATCATACGCATCATGTGTATAAGTTATTCACAAGATTTTTACAAGTCACGTGGCTTGCACACATGGGGTCTGGACGCGAGTCACGCAAGCTAGTCCTCGCGTCCGGACTTTGCACGAAATAATTTCTCCATCCAATGGGTTTTAATCTAGAAAAAATATTCTGTGCCGACTTCGGACGGGCGAAGACCAATCAGAACGCGTTATATTATTTTTTTGCTTGTATCGCGTGATGTGATGCATTCTGATTGATTTTGATCAAATTATAATAAAAAATTATATATGTACTTTTTTGATGTGAAAAATTAGCATCGAATGTGCGTTATTTAATTTGGCTTGTTAAGAAAACTGTTATAGTCAAATTTGGCTTTTTTTTTTTTTTTTTGGGCCAATCGAACAAAACTTTTTTTTTTTTTTGCGAGCCAATCGAACACAAACTTTTTACTAAGTTGGATGCTAATTATTTGCAAATAACGAACTTTTTTTAAAAAAACCCTGCTTCCAAATAGATTTTTGGGAATTTTAAATATCTTTTTTTTAATAAATCTAGTTTTAGCTTTGTTATTGGTTGTTTTTTTCTCATAAATTTTAATTCCTAAAAATAAATAGGAAAACTATTATTTTTTTTTGGATTTGGTAAGATTTAATAATTATCATAACGAACTTTTTTTATTTTAATTTGCTCAAGTTTTATTAAATCTGTATTTCTTAGAATTTACTAAGATGAATTTAAAATTAATGGATTTATTCGGATTCCCTCGGGCGGCAGCAGTGCCCCTCTAGGGGGGACCCAATAAGCACGGGCCACGAGTAGTAATAGGTGTGAGTTGCTCGTCTAGGTTAGCCGAGAAGATTAGTGAACATCGTCAAACACGTCATAAACTGACGCGGCAACAGGTCGATTCTCCCCGTTCAAAAAAAAAAAAAAATCTATCTTCTTCTATGTAAGCAAGCGAATGAAAATAAAACAAAAATATGTTTTTTATTTTATTTTTTTTAAAGAAGTTTCTGCCGATTTGCTCCATAGAAGCTTTTAATGTTAAGGGTTGGGCACAACAAGATTTGATTTCAAAACTCTGGAAATAAATCGAACAGCTATCAAAAGTACAGATCCTTAAAAAATTTGTACCTTTTATGTTACCCAATAAAGCAGTTTTGATATTTAATTTTAAGTTAAAAGATATTCCTTTTCCATTCCTAATCATAAATTTTATTTGATCTTTATTTTTGTTGCTGTTTAAAAATATTTTATGTTTTCTACCATAATTTTAATTTTTTTCTCTTACAACAGCTTTATAAAATATTAAAAAAAATATATAATCTGAAATAAAGGACTAGTGAACCTTCCCATTATGTTTATAAAGAAAATGACTCATATCAACCCTAAGTCTTGGAGGGAAATTAACTTTATTGTTTCATGTGAAAAATTATTCACCGATAGTTTTTTTTCTTGTAGTTGTTCACATTATGATTAATTATTCATAGCATAAGCCGGACGTCATTTGGATATCAATTAGAATGCGTCCCGTCACTTTTGTGCTCGGTACTACTTGGTGCCGCTCGGTACCGTTGACATGATACATTCTAGTTGGTTTTCGGATGACGTTCTACGTCTAGTCTCTACATAGAATAATTTCTTCTCCCACATTTTAGTCAATATAATAAGGCAATATAATTTTAAGATGAGAAACTAATAATAGCAAAATTTTGGTTGAAAAAATTCGATTTGCCATTAGTCTGAAAAGCAGGAAGTGGAATTATATGGCATCAAATTGATATATTTCTCATTAATAGCAGCTCTCTGATTATGCTGTTATGGCTTACTCATATGGGATGTTATCTGTTATTAGAAATTATTACGTGCAATCTTCAGATACATCGGAGGCGAATCAAAATGCCCCACATTACTCGGTACATAACAGTACACAGTACCGGTACACAACAAAAAAGTAATATGAAGCGTCCTGATTCGCCTCCGGACAACATTCAATGACCGCACGTAATAATTTCACCTCTGTTATGGCATGCTCCTTGTTTTCAGATTTTTTTTAAAGCTTCTTTTGAGGGACTTTTTCTTTATTGTCATCAGTGTAATATTTATGGTCAACTTATGCTATGAAAATTGAAATATTATTATCAATGAAATGTTTTATGATGAGGTTATAATCTAATTGGCTTTATTTTGTATTCAACTTTAGTAATGATTTTTATAAATCTGTTAAAATATGTTCCTGGGACTATTTTACCCTATACAGAGCCTTTTTTTTTATTTGAGGAGAGAAATCAACATGTGAATTATATTAAATTTTGTAATAGGTGTAAAAATTTATAGATAATCAATTTCATAGGATTATGTAAATCCAATCGGTATTAATGTACTTTTTACCTAGGGCTGCAAACGAACCAAGCCGAGCCGAGTATGTGAGTGTTCATGTTTGTGTTCATTTAATATCAGCTTGTTCAAGTTTGGTTCATGTTTGTTCGAGCTTTATTGTTTGTCTTCATGTTTGGTTCATTTAAATTAATGAGTGTTCATGTTCGGTTCATGTTCAGTATGTTCGTTCGTTTAATGTTTATCGAGCTTTTTCGCGAACATATTTAACAAATTTTTTCTAACTATCAAACAAACACGTTCGCTTGCAGCCCTACTTTTACCGTTCTGGACTCCCATCTTGATTATATTTTACTGAAAAAATTCACTTGCATTTTATCATTTTTTTTCATGGTAATTTAACAAGTAATTTTTTTTTACGAGCGAGATTATCTCTTAGAATTATTCTAATTCTTATTTTCAAGCATCTCAAATATATATATATTTTTTATTATAATGAAATAATAGTAGATATTTGTTATGAAGATTTTACGTGAAGGAAAAAAAATTATGAAATGTTGTGTGCTGGGAGATGTGATATAGAGTAGAGGTGATACATCTATATTGTGCATTGGGTGATGGGATGCGTCATGATTAGCCTCCAGACTCTAATCTGACACCTAATAATTTTTTCTAAAAATGAGTTTGATTGAAAAAAAATAAAAAAATTATTAAAGGAGGCATCCTTTCATGTAAGGAATTTTTTGTGATTAGGTGTTAACATTTGTACCTTTTTTGGACGAAGGAATATCTTAAAAAGACACATTTGAGGGTTGTATAATCAAGTTTACCTCTGTGTTATTTGTGGAAATAGATATAAGAAATGCATGCAAATATTTTTGAAGAAAATTGAGAGGAAGTTATTTTTGGTGAAAATTTTTGCCATATAATTTAGAGGATTTAAAGCAAATCACTCTTGAGGGTATTCGATTGCCTAAGTAGAAGTTCTATCTATTTGATACTTGATTCAAGAGAAGAATTCAGCATTGATTTTTTTTTTCTTTCTATTTTCTCATGTTATTGTGTCTATTAGGATAGAAGAATTGATAAATGATATCATCTTTATGAAGGAAAGAAGATAACATGTTATTGAAATAATCATCAGCATTATTTGTTTAAAATATTTTGATGTTGGCAATAAATTTATGTTTTATTATGGTAGTGAAAAAATAAAAAAGTTGGCATTAGATTTTTATTTTATGATCGAGAAATATATACGTACTACTTAAGTGCAAACATCAATGAAAACGATAAATCTAGTAACTCTAAAAATATTGGAGATCTTTGAGGGTCCTTAAATATCAAAATAAACTAACATAAAATGATTAAGGATCTAGAATCACTTTTAGGAAAATAACATGATATTTTTTGCAATTTCACACTAATTTTTTTTTTAATGTTTATATTCATAAAAATGCAAGGAACTATACATTGTAGAATTTTGGAGGGTTGCCTTAGCCTACAATAATGCTATTGGATGAGTTCAATATTATGGGTGGAAATAAAGAAGCATGACAAGCCTATCCTTCACTTTAGCATGCCCAATAATCTTCCTCATTGTGATGTTTTGAAATACATAATAATTAAGCAAAAAAATACTATATTGTAGTTTTGGTTATAGGTGATTTTATAGAATGATAAAAAATTCACAATAAGATAAGAAACATATAATATGTTAATTGGGGTAAATATGAGGGAAATTGAAATATTTACATGGCTTGTAGCAATCATTAGGGGACCATCTTCATTTATTTTCTATTGCATTTTGTCATAAGGTGTGGGAACTTCGAACAAGCAAAGTAATATGATCGGAGCCTTTCCAACTATAGAGTACAATTGTTCTAAATTAGGAATGTGTTGAGGACTTGAGGTCTATATGAGAATAATCTTATATTTCAAGAAAATTAGTAGTTGATCAGCTGATTTCCTAATATATTGTTTGTGGTTTCTACTTTGTGCTGATGAATATCATCCTCTTTAATATTGAGCTCAACTTAGACCTCTCAATGATCTATCCTTCTTTAAGTATCATAGTCAATAGTCGTTGCGATTGACTTTATTAGCTCTCACGAATCTTAGGTCTTCTTTACTTTTTAACTAAAGTTTAAAGTTAGTTTTTTTTTTGGAATATGATTGTGGCAATTAGTCCGGTTGTACTGTTAACTAAAACCTCAACTCTATTGGTCGAGCTGGATGAGGAGTTTGTTGCGGGGTCGCAGGCGGGTACCATGCCCCTTTCTTGGAGATTCGAGTTGAAGTCTATGAATTTTTTTTTGTTCATATGTAACCCCTATAGGACAGAGAGCTCGGCGTCACTGAATTGTAAATACAACATTGCGGATTCGTTTTGAGGCAGGAGTCAACATTGAGGCCTTGTCGGTTGAGTTTGTGTATCTTTGTTTTTAAAGAGTTGTAACAATTTGAGGGGTTGGACTCTCTTGTATCTGCATCTAAAGATGGAGGATGTGAGTGTGAACTGTGAAGTGAAGAGAGTGTGAGCGTGGAAGATCTGTATAATTTCTCCTATTTACCATGGTGAATTTGTTCGTGTGATGTAGCTTCGTGGCTTTCTCCCGTCTTCTGGCTTTTTCATATTAAATATTGTTGTTCTATTTCGCAATTTTGTTTGCTTACTTGTTTCCTACTTTGTTTACTCCAAACAACCCTTTAATTAAAATCAAAGGGTCTTTTAGACCACAGAGCTAAGATGAAATATTACTGGACCTGCCGGTAATCACAAGCTGTGTTCTTGCAAGAAAGAAAATCCGGAATATGCAAAGTCTTCTTAGCTATCAATCATAATTAAATTCTTAGTTAGGCTCATTATTATCTCTAATCATGGTCTTTAAGTCATCAATCAACTCATAATTAAAATTCTTTAGCTCTAATCATCAATCAATTGTCTGACTTTCCAATCTGAATGGCTTTGTTGGCTTCTTCTCGTACTAAACGACCATTAACCCGGAAATGAAGACTGATGTTCCCTTTCTTGTCTGTTTTTGCTGTTTAATTGAAACTTTATCTGTTAAAAAAATAAAAATAAAATACAACTTATAATATATTCTAGATCCAGTTTCTCCCTGCAATGAAGCCCGGCCATGGTTTTCTTCAGGGCTGTTTGTTTCCTCTATTTTTAATCTTATATTTCTTTTTTTTATGCCGAATTAAGATCTCTTGGATTCATCTGCAGATGCAGATCTTCAATAATTCTTCTGATCTTAATAGTTATTATTTTACGAGCAGTTTCTGACCAAATAAATAAACCTTTTCTTTATTTTCTTTTCTCTAATGTTGCTGACATCTCCGTCTTCTCTCTCTAATATTTATGATCAACTACAAAGGTTAATCATAAGTTTTTATTCTGCTTAAATTATGTGATTTTTTTTAGCTTTGATGACATTATAGTTAGTGATCAACCAACAATTTCTGTGATTTGCTTTTTCAGAGCTTAGGCTTTATTTGGGATGGCTTTTTACTGTTTCTTGACTAAAAAATTGCCATCTCAAACGAAGCCTTAGTTTGCACTTCAAACCAAATGATGGAAATGAAGAACTTAAACAACTTTCATCATTTTTCAGAACATTTTTTCAAGCTTCAGGCAATCAAATGAGCACCAAAATGAATTTTACACTAATGTGCAATTTTAGTCATGTAATCGCCATGAAAACTACAGAGAATCCACATGACAGAATCAAGATCCTTGACTTCCCAAGGGAAATCAAATTGATGAGTTAAATTGGCTCTGATGTTCTCAGCTGAAATCTCCATTGATGAACCACAGTGTGCATGACAGGTCAGTTGATTCCTTGCACAGAGGAATATGTCTTTGAAGACGGTCCTTGCTGGTTCCTGTCCTCTAAAAAATAGCTGAGGAAACGAATTCATTAATCCAAATTTTCTTTTGATTTATATCTCATCAGATGAAACATGTGGGTCTCTGAACTATGAACAGATCTGTAAGAAATGGATGGTGGCGAAAATTTCTTGAATTTTCAGCTCTCCATCCACTTTATTCCTCTGCATTATGACAAAAACCAACACTATTTTCGGTACAATTCCTGGCTTTTAAAAATCTAAATGACAGGGAAAATATTATTGTTTCTACTTTAATCATTTTGATTGTGACTCTCTGCACAACTGTAAATCAGGGAATCTATCTCATCTCTCTACTGTTTTCTTAAAGCTTTTTTGTTGATAAATGTTTGGAAAGCCAGCAGTCACTTAATCTGCATTCCCTCATTGTATATGTGGCAGTTCATATTTTTTTTTTTGGGAAAATGGCAGTTCATATCATCAACCAACAGAAGAACTCTCAGTCAATCAAAAAGTTTATTTTTTTCCTCCACAAAATTACATTTTTTGATTGATGGAGATTGGAGGCAGATGCTTCAGCTAGCAAAATGTCTTTATCAACTAAAGAAGCTGCTAGCGTTGCCTATTCCATCATGATAAAATGTGAACCTTTTAGGTTGAACACTCACTCATATTTGAATTTTTTTCCCATCCGATTGTCTCAGCTTTTATATGAATTATAGTTATTATGGGGTACTCTCAAAGCCCTGTGGAGTAGCTAGGAGCACAGTAGATTTCCAACTCAGTGTCTATTCCCATCATCACAGCATAAAAAGGCTACTACTCCCAATTCCAAGGTCCTTTTTAGTTTCAGCGATTCTCTTTCAGCGAAGCAAGTGAAGGGTTGAAGAGAGCAGAGATTCCTACTTGCCTTAACACCTTCACTTTATCTTCCTTGTCTTCATTCTTTTGTCTTTGAGTGAGGAGAGAACTCTCCTACAGTACTGGAGCGAGCACACAACCAACTATAGCTAGCTAATCTGCCATCTTATGGAGAGATTATTCTGTGCTAACGCCGAACGTAATTCACTGTTCAGAGACTAACCAGATTGTGCCACGTCAGCGGTAACGAGCCGGGTACCGAGCAGAAAGTGACGTGATGCATTCTGATTGGTCTCCGAATAACGTTTAGAGTTCGCACAGAATAAGATGAGTTCTTTGTTTCTTATTTTAATGAAAATTATCTCTAATAACATGCTCAATTAAGTTTTTTTTTTCTTTTTATTAGATAGTTCTTGATTGAGTAATTGGTTATGATAGGATACTTCAATAAAAGTTCATTCAATCATGTTTATTTGTGCATGAAGGAACATAGTATTGCTACAGCTTACATGTTGTCTTTTCTAGGTTCTAGTCACAAATTGTTATGTTCATGTATGTTTCTTTTTTTTTTTTAAGGTTATTTGGCCCTACAAAATAAATAAGAAAAATTTACATCACTAGTCATTGATGTGAAATTATGCAATAAAATGGAACTTATTTTTAAATTTGATTGATTGGCTATTTGAATATTTATTGGCTTCTTCTCATATTTTTTAAAAAAATATTATTATTTATTAAAAAAAAATTAAGCATTACTATTACACTACCAAACCTTTTGAATTAAAAAATAATTTAATTATTAATAGATAAAAGTTCTCTGAGATAACTTTTTTTTATTGCTTCTTAAAGGTATTGTAAAAAGTAAATTTTTTCAAGTTATTATAGAAAGCAGTTTTCATGAATTTTTTTTTAAAACAGTGAAAAACAATGATCAATAAGAAATTATAATTAAGATCTGAAAAAATAAAGTAATAAAAAAACTATCCACCCCAAAGGCAAAAATTAATAAATTTAATGGCACGAGAAAAAGAGATAAATTTTGTCAAAATTTATAAACACTCACAATGCACATCATTTGACTAATGAAAAGGGAACCCCCAATATTTGTGCATCGAATATCGTGCATGATAATGAATGCCTTTATCAATTGCATGAAAATGGAGATAGAATAAGTTTTAATAAATTCTATTAATTAATTTTTTAAGGATTTTGAAATATCCCATAGGAAACTTTCCATCAGTATATTCTAATTAAATATTTGATAGAATAAATTTTAAAATTATTAAATTTATTATCACATTATGATAATATAAATTTTATTTATTTATTACATTTTGCATTTATTCAAAAATAAATATAATAATTTTAAATTTTATTATTACTCAAACTTCAATCTACAATATGAATCAAAAAGATGAATTAAAACGCCAAAAGATACAAACTTTTCTTCGTTCACATGAAAATCATAACATTGAGAGCTTAAAAAAGTCACCTTGAGACTGAAAGAGTAAAGAACCATCTCGTTAATGGTGGTCAGATTGAGATGGAGCGTTGTTAGACTTAGGTTCTGCAATCCAATCACCATCTTCATCAGCTGCCTCGGCTGTTTCTTCGATAACACCTTGAGGTTGGCATGGCTCTCTACCATCGTCACCTCTATGTCCGCCGCCGCGTCCATAGCCTCCATTTCTTCCATCTTGTTGGTATTTCTGTCTTGATCAGAAGAGAGGAAAGTCAACGGGTGGCTGATTTTCTTCTGAGCTTCTAAGGTTTGGAGAAGATATTCAAGCTCCTTCACATAGCTTATTGCTCCGCCAATGATGGATGCTTGGTCGCTCTAATAAGAAGCAAAAAAACTGATTAATTAATACTCTGATCGAGAAGCTAAAACAGAGAAAGAGAAATAAAGGGGGAAACTTTATTAATATTAAAAAACCTTATGGACGTAGGAAGCCGGCATGATTGATCGTAGTACGGAGAGATAGTCGTTCATTTGGCGGCGGCGGTTGCGTTCGACGGCAATGTGAGTCATCCTCTGGCTCTCGGCTTCCTCCTTGTTCTTGCACCGCTTTAAACGCCGCCTCTTTTTCTTAGAGATGCCGCCTCCTATGGCTGCCGCTGCCGCCGGATTCTGCTCGTTGAAGGTATCACCGTCTGCGGCGACCAGCTCCGACGACGGGGGGAGAACGCTCCACATGCTGTTCTCCTGCAGAGCAAATTCAAATTCAAAGTTCCAACGGTCCAGTTCGCTGTTTGATAAGAAGGAGAACTCCTTGCAGGAGGAGTAAGTGAATGGGTCTTTTGGAAAGACGACTGCTTCTAAAGCCATTCTGAAACAAAGAAGATGTGAAGAGTTCAATTATGGAGAAAAGCTGAGAGAATAATGGGTTTGAAGGGGAGGAGGAGGAAGTGGAAAGGGGAAGGGGACTTAATAGGAAACTCTGAGGGCAGAAAAGGTTTAAGCGATCGGTGTTCCTTCTGTATCTGCGGTCAGGAATATTGTAATGATGATGTGAAGAAGGGGGCTCAGGCTAGTTTTCACTGATTTTGGAATGATGTGGTCGGAGGTTGAAGACCCACAATAAAATAAGCTACAGAAGAAGAAAAAAAATCAAAAAATTATAATTGCAAATAAAAATAAGAAAAAGAACAAACGAATACTGAAAAATCTCCAAGACGTAGAAGAATCTACGGCTCAGTAAATGACGAATGTTATTTTTAAGGTGATGAATCTTTTTTTTTTTTAAAGAATATATAGCCATAACTTATATTAGGATATTGACATCAAAATTATATAATTTTGTTGCATCCAGGAGTATTCGCGGCGGTAGAGAAATATAAAGTTTATCGTCTTAGCGTTGTACGAAAATTCGGTACGCAATCAGATTAGGAGATAGGGTCTAGCATTTATGAGAGACCAAGATTTTTACATGGAAAACCCCTGAAAAAGGGGGAAAAACCACGAGGCCTATCCCATTTGCAAAGTTCTACTAGTATTTGTTTAAAGTACATGGGTTGATCCGTCTTACAAATCAAGACGATCAATTTACAATCAACTTCTCACAAAGTTATAAAGTTCTGCAAATTTCTGGCGTTTCCCGAAAATTCAGCAGAGTTCCGGCGTCTTCAAGCGGCAAGAAGAGCTCCGGCGGTATAGTACATTAAAAATGAAAAGAAAAGGGTGGATATGTAAAATATCTTAGGTCTAAAAATTACATTAAAAATATTCAAAATACAATTAATAAAACTTTTAATATAATAAAGAAAGAATGAAGATGGATTATAAATAAATTCGAGCACATATAGACAAGATAAGATTACTGTGATGAAAAAATTTAAAATTATTGAATTTATTTTTGAATAAATGTAATATAAAATTTGATTATTTTTTATATACTATACTTATAAGTTAAATTAATTAAAATAATTTTAAAATTTATCTTAATCAAATTTTAATTGTGATATCCTAATTCAAAATTTTTATTATTAAAATATGTTGGATCAAAAATATATTTTATAATGAAATAATTTTGTGTTAAGATATTCTTATGAAATTTTTATGAGGATGAGTTTAAAAGTTTGACAGATGACAATTTATATGTTGTTTTGGATAATGTTTTATTGTTTTTTGAAGTAATTTTGTAGTATAAAAATTTTGAAAAAAAATAATTGTATTAAAAACTGCTTAAAAAACCTACCATTAATTTGTTCTTTCTTGAAAATCCAAATTAAGTTTAGTTTAATTACGGGCTTAAGATTTTAAATCAGATTTAGCTTAGAAATAAATAAAGGGCATTAATTTGTTACAAATATCTTAGTGGACTATTCCATTAATTATGCACATTATTTATTAGAATTAAATTTATCATCAAAAGTAGAGCATAATATAATGTCTATTAACAAGAATTTTGAAGATGTCGAATATAATTTCATATAATAATAATATTGTTAAAGAATATTTTAGAAGAGAAATTATTGGCCACAGCTCCCTATAAATTTAAGATTTTAATTAATCTGGCATTGATCTTTGGATTAATATTATAATTTGCCATTTCAGACAATGGTTAATTAGCGTTCTAGAGATTAGCTAATTAATTAACCAGCCTGTTTTGTTAAGGTCTTAACCTAAAATATAATTAAAAATAATTTTAATATATAAAATCAAAGGGTTTATCTAATATAAAGTGATTAATTATGAAAAAAAATTATGTCATGAAATTCTTATAAGAAATTTATTAAAATGAATTCTAAATTTTATTTTGTTATTTTTAGTGAGTGTAATTTATAAGTAATTTATAACACAATTATCTTAATTGATTGATGTAGAATCCAAAGCTCTTAGGAAACCTTATCTTATATCTTATAATGAAATCCAAAACCTTGAATCTTATCCATTATTGAGAAAACAACATACTTCAGAGTATTTTTCTCTCTCAAACATTCTTCTAAGTTACAGTACAAATATATCTCCGATTCTTAAAATAATACATATATATATCTCATTGAGAAGAGATTAAGGTTTCGGTTATGATAATTTTTAACCACTATGCGCTTTTATGAAATTTGCATATTAAAGCGTTGCTTTAGAAAGAAATAAGAAAATTGTTTTAAAGAAACCTAAAATTTTCAATGTTCTTAATAAAACATTCCTACTTTATTATTAAGTTAAAATATGATTTAAAAACGTCTCTTATATACGCATATCATTTATTCTTTAGGCTTCGTTTGTGATAGATTTTTTACTATTTTTTATTTCTCTATAGTAACTTTATATATAAAGAAGTCATAAAATTGTTCCGAACGAAACCTTAATGAGATATGAACTAACTTTGTAAATTTGCATAGGTCATTGGCTCAATTTCACTAATGAAGCTTAAAAGAAGAAAGACTTTTAAGTATGTTATTGTAAGCTTATTGTCGGCAACTTGGTAGCTGCATTGGCTAAATTTTATGCGGGCTTTTCATTTAATTATTAAGCTCAATTGCTTGTCATTTAAAAGATTAATCTTCTGAGCTGAAAAAAAGAAGAAGATTAAATTAATAATTTGTTATTCCCAACCAATTTTTCAGTGATTAGTGACTGTGAAAAATCATTAACATTCGTTAATTTCTTGCATTAATAGACAGAAGATAGTAGAGATCACATGAGATAACGGGAATTGCGGCAGATGATGAGCTGAAGAAGACACTGAATATATTGAAGAATTTGTTAATATATTATTAATTATTCCCTAAGCCTAATTTGGATGTTACTTATATTTACGTCACATATGAGATCAATGGCTCGACTTCTTTCTAGAAAAAAAAAATGTTTGGAATCTTCTAATCAAATTTTGATTATGAAGAATTTAATTGATGTTGAATTTATTTTAAGATGAATATAATATATGAATAATTATTAAAAAAATTATATTATACTAGTCACATATTTAATCCAACGCATTTAAAATTCATTTGACCTATTATTTTTCTTTAATCCGTATAAAAACTTTTGATTTCATGAACAATAATATTGTACGTAGAAAAGAAGTATGAATCATAGAAAAATATTTCTACAATAATTTCATGTTTACTCTAAGTTTAACTTTAATTGTGCTTATCATGTCAATTAATGTGCAAACAAAATAATTAAATATGAAAGGCGACACAATAAGAAAATAGTTTCATATAAATATTCACCCGTACAACAAAATCAACCAAAATATATAGTCAGACCCATAGAATCAACATGACCCTCAAACTACTATGGTGGCATACTTTCAATCAAATAATCAATTATTATCAATTCAATGCTCGATGATCTGATGTGGTGGATCGTTGGAAGAATCGAACTAGCAAGAAGACAATTCCAATCCAGAGAACAAAGATAAACACAAAGCTTTCAAAAGCTTCAAAAGAGGATATATAATATTCATCAATACTCCAATTATTCTTACATCATTCTATATATAATAATCAATTAGAGAAACCTAGAAGATTCTAAAAACATGATACAAACTTGCAACAAACTGCATAAGATATCATAAGGAACATCTTAAGCTAAAATGCTTCGCATCATGATCACTCTACAAGTTTTTTTATGACTAAGGCTTCGTTTGGGGCAGCTTTCTTGCTGCTTCTTACAACGTTCTAGTACAAAAAATTTTATTTTTATACTAAAAAATTATTTTAAGAAGCATAAAGAAAACCGTTACAAACAAAGCCTAAGTACATACTTAATATTGATTCACTTGTTTTGACTATCATTTTTTATGTTCTTAGTCATAATAACTATAGCTCAGTCGTCATAATACATTTGTCAATGATATGCTTAGTGCTCATGCAATCAAAATATGCTTAGTGCTCATGCATGACATAGCTTTATAAAAAATGTACCCAATAGTCAATTTTATGGCATTCACAAAACTATGAATCAGGTTGATATTTCTATCTTTATCAGCACTAAATTGAATATTCAAATTCAAAACTAATTTGATCATAAAATAATTTCCAATAGTTTTAATATTAATTTAAGAGATTTTATTTTTTACTGATTGAAAAAAAAAACATTAAAATGCATATTTTCTAACTACACTCAAGAAAATGGGGCCCGTCCATCCTAAGAAAGAGCACAGTAGCAGAAGGACAAGAAAAGAATGTAGAACACTGAACAACGTCCAAAATCTTACTGAGCCTAATTAATTACATAGCTGATATTATTATTGTTGAACTTTTGGTCACTTTGTCAGGCTATATCCTCATTGTCAGTGGTTGAAGAAGATGAAGCTGGGCTGCTCTCATCTTCTAAATTTGGAAAAAAAAAGTCAATATAAGTCATTATAATATGAATGATCACCCTTGAAATCTTATAATTACATCTATTGTAAAGTTTTTGCCCCACATAAATATTTAGGTTAATATCCTTTTTATCATCTACAACTTAAATTTTGAAAATAATTTTGAAAGTATGAGGGTTAGTCAACTTTATTTTCTTCATGATAACAGTTGTGTTCTGAAATATTCATGACGGAAGAGAGATAAAGAGGTTAATGTCTAAGCTTTCAACGAAAATCCATCACACATAAATAAAAAGAGTGGTGCGAGAGTTGTAAGAGACACTATAATTTTTATGAGAAAATTTTTGCACTATAATTTTTATGAGAAAATTTTTGAAAAGAGTGAAAAATCACAGGACTTTATCCAATTTAAATAAATCAACTAGTGCTTGTTGTTGATTACAAATGATGCAATTTCCTTGAGGATGGCATTGGCTCACTGTACATCATATAAAGCATATTACGCAGTTTGAGTTGACTGCTATTCTAAAGAGAATGTTGTGTTGTTCATTTA